TGGAACACAAAATGTCACTAAAATCACTCTGTCCTTCTAAAATCTTTCAGAAAATCGTAAAAATGCACTGAACCGCAGCAAATTGTATCGCTCAACAAATATCGTGATAAATATTGTATTGTGACCAGAATATCGTATATCGCATCGTGAAATTATTGTATCACTACACCCCTACTATTTATTCAGACATGAGCAAAACCAAAGCATGTGACTGAGAGACAATTCAGTATATTTGTATCTCACAGAGTAGAGGCTGACATCAGGACACAGAGGATAGTTTGAGTTCAGAGATGTGAACTCTATGCTCCACTTTGGATTGGATGAGGAAATGTTTAGCTCACAGAATCAGGATGGAGGCCCAGGAGGACTCTGAAATAGATTTGCTTATTTGAAAAAGCACCCTTCATGTCTGCTGTAAAGAAATAAGATGTTTTTTTTATTATATGTTACATAGCAAAAGAATAGCGTCAATAATATGTGACAGAATGGACATCAGAAATAATCACACCCCCTCCCTTTTCTTTTTTTGTTTTGTTTACTTGCTTCTGTTTTTCTCATGTTGGCTGTACTGCAGTTACAACGGTTCGCCACCAGTGGGCACATAGAGCACATTGACGCTCCTGACTCAGCGAGCCAACCGCAATGAAGCGCAGTAACGGCTGGTCAGCGAAGGCACTCACTGTCGCTCTCATGTCTCAACAGCGTTCATCAAAATAAAAGAACCTGCGCAAAACCACACTGATTAATTATTAAGTGTGCAACAAATACAAGTATTTCTGTTAATGTGCTAGTGCTATCACCAGAGAATAATGGTTAATTCCCACCAGGCCTGTTAAGTCTCCTTTAATCTAACTCTAGTCCGTTTTCCAGAAAGTGCAGTTCGTTTGGGGAAGTGTGAGTGTGAAGTCAAACTGTTGCAGACCAAAAAAGTGAACTCTGGTCCTACAAATCTCAGTCTGGGTTCTGTTGAAGTGAACTCTGGTGTAGGTCCAATGCAAAAGTGAACACCAAGCGGAATGGAGACCGCTTCAAAAGCAGGAATTTGACTACAGCACGAGGCATTCTGGGTAAATGTAACCAAAATACATATGCTAGTCCAGCGCTATCTTATGGTCTTTTGCGAAAGACTAAAGAGAAATCTTCCAACCGTTAAAATCTGGCACCACTCCACTTCTGTTTCCATCTGGTGAAGAAGGAAGTTGTTCTCAGTGTCTTCAGAGGTTTCTTTGTCGTTTCCTTCAGTGGTTCTTGACGCAGCGCCCCCACAGGCCAGGAGGGGAACAGGTTGGTTTGACTCAGCGCAGAGAGTAAGAGAACCACAGCAGCTGGAGGTGGAGCATATGATGAAGTTTTAGTTCGCAGTTGAACCGAGTCTACCAGACAACATACTGAAGATCTGAGTGAAGAGAGGGTGCCGTTGGTACTCAGGCATGAGGTGGAAGCACCTTATTGTTGATTTATGAATGCTGACCTTAACTGAGGCAGGGAGGCCTGTTTACATGTGGTAGTGGTGGTTGACCAGCGCCTCCTGGGATGGTTCTCCACTGCTCTATGTTTCCTCCATGTGTGGATGATGACTCGCACTCTGGAGTCCTGAAGCCTTAGAAAGACTTTTGTAACCCTTTTCAGCCTGATAGATGCCAATTACTTTGTTTTGTCTATTATTGTTTATTTCTTTTAGATGATGTGTTGCTTTTTGAGATCCTTCAGTCATCAGAGAGATACTATTTATTAATTGTATTTGCAATAATCAGACCTGCTTGCATATTTAATCAGAATTAAGAATATCTGAAAACTATAATGAACTTGTGAAAGACGTCTGCATCTGTGAAGAACATCACATCACAACCCCTTAGACCATGGCTGGATAAGTCTAGTTGGGGTGTTATGGAAAAATCTTACCCAGGCACTGTTAAGGTGAAAATCAGGTTTATTAATAACATGCACACAATATGAGAGCTTACAATATAAGACACTCAAACAGGTCAGTAAAAGTTGAGAGTAAATGTCTGGCAGTCAGAATGAACATCATTTTTAATACGAAGCACAAAGAGTCAAACACATGAGGCTGATGTCTGCCGTGGAGCTTACACAAGTTCATTTGGATTAAGCATTACAATGAAAATATACCATGACATGTACATCAGATTAACAAAATCATCAGATAAGATGCTTCTATCCTGAAACTTCTAGATGCACCTCTGATCCAAATGGCTGAACTCCTTCATCAGTCCTTCCTGTCTGGTCTGGTAGCCACTCTTTTGACCCAGACGTGTTGGAGCAGGGATGTGTCTAAACCCTGCAGGAGTGAGGCTCTCTTGGACTGAACTTGGGCATTCCTGTCTTAAACCAAAACAAAGAACAATTCTTCCAGAACCATAATAATAACGCCCTTAAACAGAACACTCATCAATGGTCAAGCTAAATGTGAGAATTAGCTGTTTGTGCCCATCCTTGCCAAGGTGTTGCTCAGAAGCAGCGTGACTGAGTCAAACTGCAGTAAGTTAAGACAGAAAAACAGCTTGGAAGACATTTAAATATATCAGAAGAATAAATACTGAGTTTCCTGAGCTAGCTGTACTAATGTTGACACATTGCATGGAGATAAAGTTAATAAGTCTTGGATTACAAGTTTATATTTCTGAAGCTACATGACAAGAAACTCTGCAACAGAGCAGAACATATGGAGCCTTCCCAATGCAATCCAAACTCTGCTTCCGTCTATAGATTGCTTCCATTATCCTGATTCAGTCCATTATTTCATTATTTCAGTGATATACAACATGCGGTCATGCTGTTTAATTATGTAGCAGAGTTGTTATGGAATTATTCTGAAAGCACTTAAAAATGAAATAAACTTGGTGTGGTAGAATAAATGTTTTTCTATCACTTCATGCAAAGACGTGTTGACAAATAACCAGAATAAAGAAAAACAAAGAACTGAACTGGTAAATAATCACACCCTTTGTTTTAGCTGGACTCCAATACTGATATATTCGTAACATCCTCCTTACATTTTTTGTTGCACAAAAATATGAATAAGTATACCTTGGCTTGTAAAAGTTAAAGCTTTTACAGAAACAAGGTAATTTTTTTCAATTTCTTTAATTTCTCTGTGGAACTGTTGGCCCTGTGGTCTCACTGTCTGTACATCAGCTCATAAAGATAACTCTGAAACTGGACCTGTAGACATGAAAAGGATCAATCTGTGGGTCACTGAATGACTTGCCTTGATTTGATGTTACCTTTGACACAGATTGCAATTGGTAATCATTCCTCCAGCTAACAAGTTTATTTTTGGTTGTCTCTTCTCTAAATAAATGGAGAAAAAAAAAGTAAACTCATATTCTAATTTATAATATTTTGTTGGGATTTAAGGCTTCGTAGAAGCATTGTACTTGTAGTTCGGCTGATGGTCGCACTGCGTTTTTGGTCCCACTGCTTGAAGAGTTCCTTCAGTTTGTCTCTGAAGTTTCTTCCGACAATGACGTAGAGAATGGGGTTGAGAACGCTGTTGAAGAACGCCAAGTAGGTGAAGATCTGCCCACAGAAGTGCTGGATTTCCTTAGAGGTGCAGACTGTCAGGATGCCGGCCTGGTGGAGCCAGGTCGGGACTTCCCGCAGATGGAACGGGACCCAACAGATCAGGAACGCCAGCAGGACGACCAGCACCAAAGTGTCGGCCTTGTGGTCCGTTTTCCTCGTCTTTACTCTTTGGATCGATCTGTTTCTCAGAGCTTTGAGGATGTTCACAGTGCAAAAGGAAATTATGGAAATGGGAATAAAAAACCCTAATACCAAAATCATCAACTCAGTTGTCTTTGATATAGTTGGATCAGCTTCATGACAGGCAGTTTTATTTTTGACATCTTCATGTTTCAATTTTGTGTTTATTAGTCTTGGAACACTAAGAATTAATCCCAGAATCCAAACCACACCACAACTAATTTTAGCACATTTTGGGCGACGCATTGCCCCATGGGACAGTGGATGGACCACGGCCAAATAGCGATCGATGCTAACCAGAACCAGGAAGTAGATGCTGCAATAGACGTTCATCAGGATGCTCACTTTTACGATTTTGCACATGGCAAGACCTAAAATCCAGTCAAACTTATTCCAAGCGCTGACAGCCCAGAAGGGCAGGAAGGAGACCAGGAACAGGTCAGCAGCAGCCAGGTTGCTCAGGTAGATCTCAGCCACGGTGCAGGGCTTCTTATGGAGGATGAAGACCATCAGCACAAAGATGTTGAAAACTATTCCCAAAACAGAGATGGACAGGATGTACCCTGGGACATAAGTGAAGGACCAGTCGACGGATTCAAATGAGCAATTATTAGAATTTGTCTGGTTTGGTCCTTGAGCCATGGAGCTGTTAGCCACCATTCTGAAGAAAGATGCAAGCAAGAGGAACAAAAGAAAACATTAAACGATGTGAAATTAGATTTATGTTTCAGACTTTATAAAAACAACTGTCATGTAAATAATATAATGAATAATAACATGTTTAACTGGTGAAAATATGTTCCCACTTAGCCAAAAGTTCGTCCAACAAACAAAGAACACTTCCCCAGCCTTTAAAATCTTTATGTTGCTAGTGGGTGTAGCAGTGGAGAGCACTAATGCCTTGCAGCAAGAAGGTCTGTGGTTTGAATCTGAGCTCGAGGTCCCAGTGCAAGAGGAGCCTCTCTAGTTTGCCCCAAGGAGGAAGTGTGAGCATGGTTGTTTGTCCTGTGATGGACTGCTGACTCAACGGATAAATGTGTACATAAACCATCAATGAGTGGATGATTAAAATATTTTGATCTCCACTCTGCATACGTGTTTAATGAAAGTCTCACCCTCTCCTTTTGGTGTTTTTATAGGGAGAACAAGGGAGCAAGGAAGACAAATGTAACTGACAAAAACTGAGCACAGGAAATAAATTACAAACCTTATTAGAAAATTGAAGGGGACTAAACTCTTAAATATGTAAGTGAAAGAAATGACGCACGGAGACGTAGTTCTTGCTGCTAGGCCATAGACGAGCCGGAGATCTATTACACTACCATGGATTCCTCATTACAGTTTCATCAGTTCAATACTCAAAAATCTTCCAAAGTCTCAACAAAAAATCTCCCCGTATTTTAAAGATGAACCTTTTTTAAACATTCTCATCCTCACTGATGTGCGTTGGAAAGTTTCAACCAATGGCGTTGCTACCCTTGATTTGCGTAAAGATTCTGGCACGCTTTATACTGAGTGTGTTTTGGACAACCTTTAAAATATTTGAGACCTCATGAACTCAACATCTGCTCCATTTCAGAATTGCTGAATAGGACAATTTTTCTCAAATTGTTCTTATCTTGTCCAAACAGACGTCCTTTCCAAGTCACTTTTTGGTTCCATTTGCGCTTTGCATGCAAATTGAAGGAAAGGAGTCAGTCAGGTCGATCTAGTGAGGCGCCAAAATTCTTTTCACAAAAACAACTCCTTAAATAGTATTTCCGCTCTTACAACCTAATCTAAAATAACCAAGACTGAACTGAACTAAGGCAAAACAAAAGCTAGGCTGATTTAGTCACAGAATAAAACTACAAGCCAAGTAGCCCCCAGCCCCCCGAAAAAACAAAGATCCTGACATCACCCCCTCCCAAGGTGGATACCAGACCTGGTTTAAGACCAGAAACAGAAAATAAACCAGCCCAGGCTGGACCTGACAAGGAGGGCCAAAAACAAAACAAATGTTCATGGAGGATGACCAAGAGGTAGACTAATGGAGTCACAAGTTACAAACAAGATTTTAACCATGAAGTGGTTCAGAGAAGGCCAACAAGAAGATCTAGAGAATGACTGTCTGCAATGAAGGCGTCCATGATCTGGAGGCTTGTCACTGGCAGCAGAGCCGCTGACTCTCTGGAGGCTGGAAACTAAAGGATCTTGCTGGGGGACGACTAGGTGGTGGCAGCTCGGCCAACTGGAACCCACAATAAGGCTCAGGACCTGGAGACAACCCACAGAGAAGCTCTGCAGCATGGGACCCATGAAGTGGTTCTGCTGCTGGCAGATTGAGGCTGGTGATGGAGGGATCGATGCTGATAAGAGCCTGCAGACGACTGAGCTGCTGCAAGTCTTTGGCGAGACTTTTAAAGGCTTTAGAGTTCTGAGGCGTGGGGCTAACGGAGAGTGATAGAGATGGTGGCAAAGAGGACGAGGAGCAGACTTCCTGGAGAAACTGTGGAGGCGTCTGCAGTGGGTGGATGAGTTAGCTGGAGGAACAGAGACATGTGGTTGAGGTGAGGTGGCTTGTGGGATGTCTCGGCTAACGTTGCTTGTTGGTCCCACTCTGCTTCTTCCAACAGCTCCTCCCAGCACAGGACAGAGAGCTGAGCAACTCATTAACCGACGCCACTTCAACGCAGACAAGAGGGACAGTAGAATACTTAATGTGTGAAATCTGATTTACAACCTAATCTATTTTCCTAATGCATATAATACCCAGGCACATATTTCTTACTCTTTTTTTATAACGTGCTGCCATGGTGAACAAGGCTTGGCCAGAGTTCTCACTGAAGGACTTTCTCTCTCTTATTTGCTCTAGTTCTGCAGCAAGAAGCAAGTCTGATTGGTCCTTCAATCATGTTTGGTGTTGATTGGACCCAAATGCAGACAGCTTGAAGCTGTGAGTAGTTGGTAGAAGTTTGATAAAAAACAACAAAACAATGACATCACAAGGATCAAGAGCAGGGAAAAATGGGGACAGAGAACATGGAATATATAACGGGAGGATCCGGTGAGTGAATGAAAGAGACGTGGTTAAAGTCAGGGAATTTGGATTCTGGAACAGTGGACCGGTACTAATTAGAAAATGAGGTTCAGGTGTGAGGGGTGAGCAGAAAGCAGGCGGAGGGGGAGAGAGATGGCACAGGGGGAGTAAACCCCAACCAGGGACCAGGGAAAACAAAGCTAACTGGGACAAAAACTAATTAAACTCTGGAAATAAACCAAATCTAACTAACAAAGAGCTGACTGAACTAAAGTAAAACAGAAGCAAGGCTGATCTAATCAAAATAAGAATAACTCAGGCAATCATAAAACAAATGAACAAAACCAGAAAAACCCAAAACAACCCAAGAAATGGCAGTAAGTGGTTTAAGCCTTTAGTACTGCACTGTAACAGTCGACTGTATTCTGACATAAATACATTAGTAGGTGCAGACTGACATGCTGAAGAAGTCAAAGCAATTTAAGAGATTGTTGTACATCTGTTAATTTTCTAATTAATTGCATGCTTTGCAAAGCAGTAAATGTTGCAGAATGTTTAACTCTAAACTCTAAAATAAAAGCAAAAAATAGCAAAAGTATAAATTTGTTGCATACCTTCAGGTGGACAGACGAATTTCTCCCAATGAAAAAAGAAGCAACCCTTCTGCAGCGCCGATGCTTCTAACTACTGTTTGACAAGGATTTGCTTAAGAAAGCATCTGATGCTGAACACCATTTGCTTCATTCCCACCCCTCTCCTCCTACTGGGTAATGACTGCCTTTTTTCTACCAGTCCACTGAATGTGCGCTGTAGAGTTTATTTCTTGTAACAATACGTCTCGGCATGTTCTACAGTTGGAGAGCCTGTTTGTCACTGTCGATGGTGCTACTGCTGTCAGGAAATGAATTTGTGGGTTAAACAGATTACTTAAGAATGTGGGGTTGTACTCATGAAAACATATACTCCTTTGCAACTAACTGTGATGATCAAACTTAAAAAGAAAAGTCGTGTTTACCAGGAAGAGAACTGAGAGGGATCATAGAGCAAACAGGACAACGTTTCTCACAGGAACTGAGTCTGATGCCACAGACTGTCCAAAGCCGATGTCATGACCAGGACGTTTTACAGGAATGTAAAAAACAAAACCCTCTAACGGTAATGTGAAGTTCAAAGGCTTGACTTGAACTCTTTTTGGTCTGACTTTATCACATCTCTATTTAAGAATTTCTGTGCTCAGCTATTTTGTGTGAAAAGTTAACTGAAAGCCAGTTAAAAGATGAAAATAGCTCAATACTGTACCGGGTATACATGCAGACATTTGACACCTAAGCAATGTGTGTTGACAAAGGGATTGGACAGTAGCTTCACCCAGAGTCAATATTCACTGGCTGATTCTGAAGAGTGGAATGTCCAGAACACACAAAACTCCCCAGAGCATCAATAATACTTTTGCACAACTCAATTTTTATTGAGTGAAAGTGAAGAAATTATGTCATAATGCATTTTTTAGCCTCTTGGGAATAGCCTGAGCATGCATGTTTACAAAAGTACAGTCTGAACGATCAAACACTTTGTAAAGAGGTTATAATCTGATTAGTTTTCCTGAAATGACTTCATAACAAAGACTCTTCAGTGTTTATGACGGGCAAGCATGTAAACGGAAATAAACCAATCAGCCATTATAAAGAGTTGATTGGATGTAATGACAGAAAAACAAAGTCTGCTTGGATCTTGTTTGTATTTTAACAAGATAATGTTATATTGCTTCCATTATCTTCATTTAAATCCATTATTTCCATAAGAGGGACAGTAGAATACTTAATGTGTTAAATCTGATTTACAACCTTATCTGTTTTCCTAATGCATATAATACCCAGGCACATATTTCTTACTCTTTTTTTATAACGTGTAGGGGTCCATCCATCCATTCTTGTGATTCAGATTCAGATTTATTTGTATCCCTGATGGGCAATTGATTTTACAGTAAGTATAAAAACTAAGAGACAAAGTATCAAAGATTAAACAATAATAAAACAACAAAACATACCAAAAGGACATGAGATACAAATCAATACATAATGGGGAGAGTACAGCAGTGTATTTCATAGGAGGTGTAAAGTGTGTTTTGGCTACCATAGCAACAGAGACATGCTGATGCTTACGTGTGTTTTGTGATCAACTGAGCATCTGAGGATAACAGCCTAAACCAGTGGTTCTTAACCTGGGTTCGGTCGAACCCCAGGGGTTCGGTCGAACCCCAGGGGTTCGGTCGAACCCCAGGGGTTCGGTCGAACCCCAGGGGTTCGGTC